ATATTATTTTTTAAAAAATAATGTTTATAATAAAATTTTTCTAAATAATAATTAAATTCGCCCTCTATGACCTGCTAACAAAATAAAACTGATTTTCATTTTCAAATTTTTTTCACTATATTTAATTTCAACTGTCATTATTGGAATCTTTCTCTCCTGTCAAACGTCTAATGTATTAGCTTGGTCTTTTCTTTTCTAATTGATCTCTTTCCTCTAATAGAAATAATGATTTTCTTCCTGTTGTATTTTACTGAAGTTTTCCTTTCCAAAATTCCCATTTTTTTAAAACTTATTCACCGTTCTCTTGATGGTTCTTGAATGGGCTTTATAGAAGATAAATTATGAATTTGGTACTTGTTATTACTGAAGGCATGAATCATCTTTGTTCTCCCATTATTGCTCAGTTGAAAGATTGGGACTGACAAAAACTATTTTAACCTGTTCTCTTTAATTAGTTGAATAGGTCAAATCAGTTATTTTTACGATAAAAGGGTATCAAGATGATTAAATATTTTATCCGAAAACTGATATTTCATTAAAAAAATAAACTGAAATGGTTTAGTGTTTTTTTAGATATTAAACATTTTTGCATTATGGACAATTATGAAACAAAAAAAGTTTTGGACAATTTTTCTTTTATTAAAAATAATATATATATATATATATATATATATATATATATATATATATATATATATAAACGTCATTATTTAAAGGTTTTTGAAATTAAAAAACACTTTCTCAAAAGTTAATAAAAAAGATACAATCGATGACACATTAATAAATAACGAACGAGAAGACAAATAAAATTCGAACACGATCAAAATGATCTTAAAACTAAATAATTCTGAATTCTAAAATATTTTATAAAATATATATATATATATATAAATATATATATCATGTAGTTTAAAAATCAAACAATAAAATCAAGATGGCAAATATAAAATTTTATATAAGATATTGTATTTATACGTGATACCAATATATATATATATATATATATATATATATATATATATATATATATATATATATATATATATATATATATATATATATATATATATATTTATATATATATATATATATATATATATATATATATATATATATATATATATATATATATATATATATATATATATATATATATATATATATATATATATATGAAAGAAAAATATACTGAAAAAACAAACAAAAATCCTAATATGCGATTATGCTGTTTTAATGTTTAATGTCAACGTCGGACGTTTCGGTCTAATAGACCATCTTCAGGACATATTCATAAAACATAATTAACATAGACCATATACAATTCAACATGAAAAAGACGATGGACATAAAAGCAATACCAATCCAAACAGATAACTGAAATCTTTTATAAGATCAGCGTTCCGTTTAAATATGATCACGTCGTCGTCACGTGGGCGATGTTGTGAAAACGTATTCCTAAAATTTGAGTATTTTGAATGAAAAACGAAAAGAATTTTATTTTGATCTAAAACTTATATGTACGTTTGTCGAGCATTAATCTTGCTAGAAAAGGGGAAATATTAAAGAAGCCAGGTCTAGTGTTCACCGTGCGTGAGATAGATATTATGCCTGTATATATATATATATATATATATATATATAATAGATATTTATAAAATAGATATATAAATATATAGATAGATATATATATATGATAGATAGAATCGAAACCATTAAATATACTTACATATGCAAAATATATAAAAGGTATTAATTCAATATTTTTAGAATAAAATTTCCAATGAAAATCCAGCAAGAACTCAATGTCTGAGACTGAGTAAGGATATAATAATAGTCTTTAAAAGTCGAATATATATATATATATATATATATATATATATATGGAATTAAATAGATTAAATCCAGAGAGACCTTCAAATTCATAGTCGAAAACAGAAAAAATTTAATTTCTTTTTAACCAAATAGAAAAAAGGTATTATTTAGGTTTTCTCCATCCTCCTATGGGTAAAGAGCAGGATCACTAGGTTCTGTTTTATTGATGGAGTTGTTGGCCAAGGAGAAAAAATTTTTGAATTCAAAACCTGCGGATTCTCATTTGGTGATCGTATAGTTTATTGCATTACGCCTCTGTATTCGGCCCTTCAAAACGTTGAATATGGTTCTGCAAACGCCTTTATATATATAATATATATATATATATATATATATATATATATATAGGAATTTATATATATATATATATAAATGATCGATATGTAGAAATATACACATACCACATACCATACATACATAACACATATATATATATATATATATATATATATATATATATATATATATATATATATATCAGAATGTTTGTTTGTTCAAAAATAGCTTCCATCAATTAGTAAAGTTATGAATGTAAAATTTACTCATTTTAATATAGAGGAAAAAAGAAAAAAAAACTTCATTAAAAAATAAAGAATAAAAAAAAAGGAAGGCTTATGATGATCATTTTTGAAAAAGAACTATTTAATTCAGAAGAAACGTTTTAAAAAAAATTCAAATCCTTTAAATATCATTCACACATATATTCATATATTATTTTCATTGCTGATAAATCTCTCTATTTTATACCCCAAGATTTCATCTGATCTCATGAAACATTTTTTTTTTCCTCTTTATTTGGAATATATTTTATTAACACTTGTTTCCTTGTGTGTGTTTGTGTGATACACAAAAAAACTCTGTGGCACTGAAGTAAATGGAGCGGAGTCGGATTCAAAATCCAGATTTTTGAGTTACGTAGCTTTATTCAAATCCATTGCATTGTGAAACACTGAAACATCTTTATAAATCTTCAGATTTCAATCTTTATCAAAATATTTTCCATGATCGTCTGTGAGGATTCATGGAATTTCCACTGAAAATAAGTTAATTTGTGAAAATATGTGAACCAATTTTTTAGAACCTGTTTAACAGGTGTAAATTGATCGAATCGAGTTTCCTTTTCTCATCAGGTCTTAGTTTCGATGGACTGGATTGTTTTTTGTTTTATTCTAATGGCAGGATAAAATTATCCTAATTAACGCACTGCCACATTTTACACGTTTTTCTGTATGTATATGATTGACAAAGACACTGAAAAGCAACGATGCCTAAAATTTCAATTTATTTAACAGAAGAAGTGTGAAAAAGTATTTTGTCCTCCAAAGAATGGAGATCCGTGTTTTTTTCTGGACTCATTGTTTTCAATCTGATTGGAAGAAACAGAAAGAAACAGATGAAGCAACGTCTGCTGAAAAGGGGCGTTGATAACTTGACCTCATAAATTGGCTGTTTCACTCTCCTACCAAGAAACTAAAATAATTTGGGTCAAGCTAGCAAAAAAGTTTTAAAGGTCACAAAAAATTCATGACTTGATTTTTTCCTTTAAAAGAATCATCGAAACTGACTATAGTCCATTATATATATATATATAATTTTATATATAGTATATATATATATAATAATTATTTATTTAAAAAATATGAAAAAAAACAAAAATTAATTCTCATGTTTCAAAACAAGACTGCCGAAAATTGTTCATAAGTAGATAAATTAAATTGATTCAAAATTAAATCAGGTTTCATCTTGAAAAAAAAATCTGATATTTTTTTTTCGGCTGGGATGTTTTGAAACATGTATCACAGGACATATTGGAAAGGAATCATATTTTTAAATAAATAACTATTTCTGCCCTACTTTAATGGCAGAGGAACTGGTTTTTAAAAATTCAATAATTTAAAAACAAGTTTGAACATTTGGATTATTCACCAACCAGTTCCTTCCATGGATGTCAAGAATCTAGCATATTTATATAAATATATATATATATATATGATATATATATATATATGTTCAGATAAGAAAAATGTTTGAATAAAAAATAAAATCTATTTGTTTTAAATAATTACTATAATAAAATGACTTTTCGTTTTTTATATTATTTTCACCCAAATGCCAAAAAAAGGTAGTGGGTTTTATGAATTAGTTTGCACCATAGTCTTATAAGGAGGAAAATGAAAATAAATTTATGAGGATATGTGTTTTAGATAACATATGATAAAAGACGAAGAATTTTCAATTATAAAATAAAAAAAAGCATCTTTAAAATAAATACAAACGTAATTAAAATGCTTTTGAACGTCTTTTAAACTCAAACTCATTTGAAAATCAATCTAAAATCAATATCTGAACGTTTATTGCAAAATTTTGGAAAAGGATCAGACCTAATTCATTTCTATTTCAGAACGTGTCTGACAAAACTTTCCCGAATTTTTTAAAATATTCAGTTTTTGTTGCCATATTTTTCAGGCTTTTTTTTTTTCTTTTTTCCCTATATAACAGACTGATTTTTATAAAGTGAAAAAAGACCCAAGGCTGAGGAGGCGGCGATTATTTATGCATTTAACTTCTTTTTTTTTCCTTTGATATATAAATTGAGATTATCGAAACATTTTCCCTGTTATATTTTTAGATTTTTTAATCATTTACATGATTGATTCACTTTTTCGTTTTTTAGTTCAATCCAGTTTATTATTTAGACCCACCATTGCCATTTTTCAGATCCTCATTCTATTTCCATCTCTTGTTTTAGAAATGTTATGCAATGGAACAGACTTAAAAAAAGGATTTTTATGGACTTATACATTTTCTTCCTCATTTTACGACTATACAACAAACTAATTCAATAACCCTCACCTTAATCGTTGGAACTTTGCACCTCGAGGCGGTGATAATGTTTGTTCGTTATCTCGCTAGAACAATGACGACTGAGTAGTGAGTTTTTAAAATGTAGCCACATATGCATTTTCCTCCCTACTCTTCGTTTAATGGTTCTTAAGCTAGAACAATTAGTAAGTTCGATCCTTCGTCATTCTTCATTTTGTTTTCCCTCCTTACCATTATCCCTTTATTTCTGAAAAATTTTTATAAAGTCTTCCTTCGTCCGGAACGATCTTTCGTTATTTATTTAGTACTTTTTTTCTTCTTCTTCTTCTTCTTCTTCTTCTTTTCTTCTTCTTCTGGATTACCTCCTCCTCATTCTTCAACAGTTCTCTCTTTTTAAACGCAATAACTCTTTTGCAATGTTTTTAGAAGGACCACCACTCTTCCTCTTTTTATTGTCCAACATATTTATCCTCCGCATTCTCATTCTTCTTCCACCAAGAGTAATAATTATCTTGGAGCATTCCTTCTTCTCATTTCTTATTTGCCATCCACCTTGAAACAAAGTTTTTTCAGCCTGTCAGTACATACCACTAATCTTCTAACAAATTTTCGAATTACTCAACAGACGTAATTATTCGAATTATTATTATTAAAGATTCCTTTATAATTTCACAGGCGTTTATATCTAAAAAGACCAATGATTGGTCTTCTTCCGGTTCGCAGCATGGAGAACAGCAGTTCCTCCAGGGGATTTGGCTGAAGTCTTCAATTAGTTTTAACCGTTATAGTTTGAGAACTGTTGTTGATGTCACGTATTCAAATAAGGCGTCCTCATTAGAAAGAAAAAATGTACGAATCAATTATCGTGTTTCCCCTTTGCGACGTGGAAAATATTGAACTGTTGATATTATGAAGAGAAAAAGAAAAATGCCTGATATTATCTTGGTGAAATGTCAGGGCGATTTCAAATAGACAAGCAATTTAAGACGACAAGTAATTAGAATTAGACGACTTCAAAATACATTATTTGCATTATAATCTTACGCGCAATCACATAAACGTAGACCTGTGATGAAGAAAGAGATAGAAATATTTTAAGAAACGTAAAGGGTTAAAGGAAAAAAAAAAAATTAATATAAGAATTACTGAAAAAAAATTTTATTATTTTTTTGTCCGTATGTTTTAACGAGGATTTGCTGAAAATTTCTATTATCCTATGAATTTTATTTTTTTCTGATTACAGGCAAAAATTAATAGGGAAAGATTATTATTATTATTATTATTATTATTATTATTATTTCCTTTGATTTTTGTTGTATACACGTTTTCATTCCGCGTCCCAACCAGAGACCTAAGGTCAGAAATGGCTTAATGATATTTTCCACAGATCATTTTTTGTAAAAAAAAATAAAAGCTAAGTTCAGACATATTTTACATAGATAAAGCTGTAATGCGTGAGTTCTACGGATAAGTCCAACTTTTTGTATTTCTTTAAGGCATTGCCTAACAGGAAACCTATTCAGTGAATCTGTTGGAAGCTTTTCCAATAAATACGAGGCTTCCAACTACAACTGGAATTATTGATGTCTTCATGTGCCACATTATCATTATTATTATTATTGTTATTGTCATCATCATCATCATTCGATTTCTGCTATGGACACACTACCTACCAAGTCTGCGGAAAGACCTAAGGCAGGTCGTGGTGTGTTGTTATGGCCACATCATTAATTTTTTTTTTTTTTTTTTATCTCGATGAAGTTGCTAGCGTTACATAGACAAAGTTCTCCTTAGTGTGTGTGCTGTACTTAATAAGACAATTTTCTGTATGTCTCTTGCTGGGGTTTCAGGGATTTTTCTTTCTTTGTGTTGTTTTGTTCCATTTTTTATAATTCCAAGTGCTTTATTACCACTGGTAAAATTCTTATTTTTCACATTTCCAGCCACTTTTTTATTTAATTTATTATTATCTTTGTATTTTTTTTTTATGTGTTCTTGGTTGTCGACGTCACAATCCGCTGGACAAGCCATCATCAATTATTATGTTTTTTTTTTCTGGTTTTTGACAATAATGTCCGGCCTATTTGCTTCTGGGTTTTTGTCTTCTGGATGGTATAATCTCTTTTTCTTCTCACTATTTTAGATTTTTTGACAGTTTCTTCTTCTTCTTCATCTTTTTCTTCTTCTTCTTTTTCTTCTTCTTCTTCTTATTATTATTATCCTTCTTCGCCGTCTTTTTCTTGGATTTTTATTATTCATTTTCTTCTTACATCTCCTTCTTTTTATTTCTTCTTTTTTTTCTTCTTCTTTTTATTATTTCTTCTTATTATTATTATTATTATTATTATTAATATTCTTCTTGGATTTACCTTCATTCTCATTCTACAACTGCTTTTTATTCTCATTATTATTATTATTATTATTATTATTATTATTACTATTATTATTATTGTTGTCCTTCTTTGCCCCTCTTCTTTATTAAATGTTTTTTCTTTTTTAGTCTTACATTTTATTTTTTCTTATTATTATTATTTTTATTATTATTATTATTATTATTATTATTATTATTATTTCTCCTCTCTCTTCCTCCCAACCTTATTCTTCTTCTTTACTTCTTATCTTTTTCGTCTCATTATTATTAAAATTATTATTATTATTAATATCGTCCTTCTTTATCGTCAACCTTTTTTTCTTAACTTTTTTTTTTATAGTTTTTTATTCTGCACTATTATTATTATTAAGACTTATTATTATTATTATTATTAATTATTTTCTTTGCAGGTCTTGGCCTGAAAAATATTTCCATATTTTCCAGTTTCTTATTTTGCAGCCAGACTTTTATTATTATTATTATTATTATTACTAAATTTTCTCTTTTTTTCTTCTTCTTCTTCTTCTTCTTCTTATTATTATTATTATTATTATTATTATTATTATTATCGTTTATTTCTTCAGGTCAAATTCTTCGTCTTTTATGAGATTGTCCCGAAAATACCGTTCGATTTTAGAATGGACTTCTTTCTTGAATTTATTTATTTTAACAGTCTTTAAATCAGTCAAAATAGAAAACCTCCCTGAACAACTCTACAGTTTTGTATCAATATACAACGTTATTTTTGCCCGCACGATAAATCGCTTAAGGTTTGAACGCCAAGAAATCTTTGAATGTAACGGAATGTCTTTTGGTTTAAAAACTTGTGAAGAAACAAGAAAAAGTGCTTGTCAGTAGGCGAGAAGTCAGAGGACTATGGTGGATATCCCAAATTTCGACTATAAATTTTATTATAATATTTGGTTTTTTATTATTAATATGGCAACATGTGGCCAGGAATTTTCATTTACAAATGTCGAGAATTGACAATCGTCAATTAACCAGAGCCGGTTTCAGTTTAACTGAATGTGCATGTCACCTAGTTTCTGGCAAAATATTTTTTATTATTATTGAAAATTTCATTAAGAAAAAAAAAAATGGATAACGCCAATGGCGGACCATTAGACGAATCACCATATCTTCTGTAACAAAATTATTGAAAATGTTTCTTCTTGTTATGATCAAAGCAGTTCTAAAATTTTTTTGCAATTTCAAAGAAGGGATCCATTTTTCATCACATGCGATTGTTCTTGATTCATTCGGTTTTAATGGAAACAGACTTCAAATGTCAATTCTTTTTTCTTCAATTTTTTTTATATCTTCAAGTATATTAGAGCCGCATTGTTTGAAATTTTTATTATTATTATGTTAGAAAGGGCCTTCAAATTCTGTCGGATTTGATCACGATGTCTGGGCGGTTAGCTTTGTTCTTTCTGCCTAATTTTTTCAAAATTATAATTATTTTTACAGATTATGTGATGTTCATGCCAATTCCGTGCCGTTTTCTTTCGATAAAAATTGCAGATTTTCCGGTGCAGATAAAAGTTCAAAAACAATAGTTTTTTTATATTTCTAGAGATGCTTTACCGTGCAAATTGATGTCAATTATTTCTAAATTTTCTTAGTGTTTGAAAATTTCTTCTATAAGGGATGTTTCTTTCAGGTAGATTTTCTATCAACTTGTATTTTGGTGTTTACTATCTTTCAATATATTAAAATTATCCATTTTTATCACGAGATCCAGATTTCCGATTATTTATTGGTACAGCTAAAACAGTCTTCATTTTCTCATCCTGTTAATATAAATCTATTAGGTATTTGGAATTTTTCGATAAATTTATCTTCTTCTTCATTTCTCTCATGCGACCTTTCCGTTTCTAATCATACATTTCCTGAATTTATTGTTTTTATGATATTAGATCTATGTTGCCTTACTTTTCAATGCGAGTTTGAATCTGCATGTCCCAGAGGATAGTTACATGTTATTTTTATTGGTAACTTGTGTCTGATTGATGTTGATATCATCTGTCAGTTGTTTTCGATTTTGTGCTTCTTGCATATCTTCCATTCACATATGTCGCTACCATATTCTCTTATATATTTATTTTTTTTATTCCAGACTTTAATTTTGAGATAATATGGAGTATTTTTTTATCATATTTTTTATAGATATCTACATTTCAGGTTAGTTCCATCGTTGATTATAGAATGGTTTAAGGATCTGGTTGCGACAAAATTTTTATTTGATTTGCAATAATTAGGCCTTCTGTCTCAGATTTCAACCCGGTGCTCCTCAGCAACGGATGTGTTTTCTGTTGGTTCAAATCTCTATTTCATTAATTTTTTTTTTTATTTGCCATCCATAGCTCACAAATTTTTTTTTTTCTTTCATTTTTCCAAAGTTTTGGACATTCTATCAATTTAATCAGTTTGGCATGCCTGGTATTTAGAAAAAAAAATCCTTCTTTTTTTGTTATTTGGATTTCAATTTCCTTGAAGTTCAATTTTCTGTTTTTGATTTTTTATTATTATTATTTTATTATTCTTTGTTATTTTTATTGCTAGCTTACAATTATAAAACCTTCTCGAGCGTTCAAAATAAGCTACCTTCAATATTATTCAAATGAATTGAGTTTTTTTTTTAAATATTTTTTCCTTTTTCCTTTATTTTTATTTTAAAGAAAATTAATTTTTTTATTTTTTTTTCTTAAATTCTTCTTAAAATTTACCTTTCTTCTTCTTCGACATTTCTTTTTTTTCTTATTATTATTTATACTTTTATTATTTTATTAGATTTTTCATTATTTCTTCTTTTTTCCTTTAATTCATCTTCTTTCAACATCCCTTTTTTCACATTTATTATTATTACTACAGTTATTGATTAATATTTTAGGGCATTCTTCTTGTTTTACTTCATATTTTTTGACTCCTATTTCTTTTTTTTTTATTGTTATTATTTGATTATTATTATTATTCCTTCATTCTTCTGTTTGTCTTCTTCTTTACTAGACCTTCATCTTTCAAAAGACACCTTTCTTTTCACTATTATTATTATTATTCTTATTTTATTATTATTATTAATATCCTTATTTCAAATGTTTTCTTCTTGGCTACCTTCATCTTCTTAAAACATCTCTTTTTTTTTTTATTATTATTATTATTACTATTATTATTATTATTAATATCCTTCTATGACGTTTTTTTCTTGGCTACCTTCATATTTTCCTTAGACATCTATTTTATGTTTTATTACATTTATTAACACTATTATTAAAATTAAAATAAATATCCTTCTTTTTTTCTTCTTCATTTGGATTACCTTCATCTTTTCCTTCGACATTCTTTTATTTTTATTATTATTATTATTACTATTTTATTAAAATTAAATTTTTCTTTTCTTATTTCTTCTAAAGGACCTTCATCTTCTCCTTCGACATTCTTTTTTTTCTTAAAATAGATTATTTTATTTTATTATTATTATTATTAAAATATTTTCTTCATTTTATTCTTTTTCTTTTAATTTTTTTCCTTTCTTTAATATCACTTTTTCTTGTGTCATTTTATTCTTTAAAATTTAATTATTATTATTTATTAAAATCTTCTCTTTATTCTTCTTATTGGCTCCATTCTTTCCTTCGTTATTTTATTAAAATCATAAAAATTTTTCTTAATTCTTTAGTTTTCTTCTTCTTAATTATTTTATCTTCTTTTCTTCTTATTTTTCTTCTTCTTCTATTTAATCTGAATTCCTTCAAACATTAATATTTTTTTTCTTCTTGATATTCTTATTCTTCTTCTATTAAAAAAATTATTATTTTAATATTTTCTTATTATTTCAATTCTTCTTCTTTTTTCTCATTTATCTGATGGATTTTTTATTCTTTTCTTCTATAATTATTTATTATTTTTCAAATTCTTATTATTATCATTCTTCGTTTTCTTCTTCTTGGCTCCTTCATTTTTTTCTTCTTCATTCTTTTCTTATTTCTTATTATTTTTCTTATTATTATTATTTCATCTCTATAAAATTTCCGTCTTCTTCTTTTCAAACCTTCATTATTTCTCCTTCGACATTTCTTTTTTTATTATTATTATTATTATTATTATTATTATTTTTTATCCTTCTTCATTCTTCTGTATAATTTCTTCTTTATTCCTTTTTTCCTCCTTCTTTTCTATCCTTTATCATTATTATTATTTTATTTCTTATTATTTATTTTATTTTTATTATTATCCTTAAATCTTCTTCTTCTTAAATTCTTCATCTTCTCCTTATTCTTCTTTCTTTTTCATTTTATTTTATTATTACTATTATTATTATTATTATTCTCTTCTTCTTCTTCTTCTTCTTTTCTTTCTTCTTCTTTTTCTTCTTCTTCATTCTTTCTTTTTTCTTATTTCTTCTTTCCACTATTTCTTCTTCTTCTTCTTCTTCTTCTTCTTCTTCTTCTTCTTCTTTTTTTACCTTCATTTCTCCTTTTCTTCTTCTTCTTCTTTCTTCTTTCTTCATTATTTTTCTTTTCTTCTTCTTCTTCTTCTTCTTCTTCTTCTTCTTCTTCTTCTTCTTCTTTTCTTCTTCTTTTTCTTCTTCTTCTTCTTCTTCTTCTTTTTCTTCTTATTTCTTTCTTCTTTTCTTCTTCTTCTTCTTCTTTTTCTTCTTCTTCTTTTCTTCTTCTTCTTCTTCTTCTTCTTCTTCTTTTTCTTCTTCTTCTTTCTTTTATTTCTTCTTCTTCTTCTTCTTCTTCTTCTTCTTATTTTATTTCTTCTTCTTCTTCTTCTTTTTTTCTTCTTCTTTCTTCTTCTTTTTCTTTCTTTCTTCTTCTTCTTTCTTCTTCTTCTTCTTCTTGGAATTCTTCTTCTTCTTCTTCTTCTTCTTTCTTCTTCTTCTTCTTCTTCTTATTTTCTAATTCTTCTTCTTCTTCTTTTTCTTTTCTTCTTTTTCTTCTTCTTCTTCTTCTTCTTCTTCTTTTCTTCTTCTTC